TAAGGTAGGTACTGTACTCCGGGAGTAGGGGTTATCTGAGGTAGCTACTGTAATCTGAGGGTAGTGGTTATCTTAGGTAGCTTCTGAAGTGTGAGATTAGAGGGTACCTGAGTTAGCGACACTGCATTAAGATAGGTGATATCTGAGGTAGCCACATTACTCTGAGGGTAGAGGTAATATGAGGTAGCCACAATACACTGAGGGTAGGGGCTATCTGTGGTAGCCACAGTACACTGAGACAAGGGGTTATCTGAGGTAGCCACAGTGCACTTAGGATAGGGTTTATCTGCTATAGCTTCTATACTCCTAGGTTAGGGGTAATCGAAGTTAACCTCAACATCCTGAATGCAGGTGTAATCTGAGGTAGCCACAGTTAACTGAGGCTAGGGTTAATCTGATGTAGCCACAATACACTGATGATAGGGGTTATCTGTGGTAGCCACAGTTCACTGAAGCTAGGGGTAATCTGAGGTAGCCACAGTACACTGAGGATAGGGGTTATCTGTGGTAGCCACAGTTCACTGAGGCTAGGGGTAATCTGATGTAGCCACAATACACCGAGGATAGGGGTAATCTGAGGTAGCCACAATACACTGAGGCTAGGGTAATCTGATGTAGCCACAGTACACTGTGTATATGGGTAATCTGATGTAGCCACAGGACACTGAGGGTAAGGGTAATCTGATGTACCCACGGTACACAGAGGGTAGGGGTAATCTGATGTACCCACGGTACACAGAGGGTAGGGGTAATCTGATGTACCCACGGTACACAGAGGGAATGGATAATCTGATGTAGCTACGGTACACAGAGGGAAGGGGTAATCTGATGTAGCCACGGTACACAGAGGGAATGGGTAATTTGATGTAGCTACGGTACACAGAGGGAAGGGGTTATCTGAGGTAACCACAGTGTACTGAGGGTAGCGGAAATCTGAGGTAGCTACTGTGCTCTGAGGGTAGGAGTAATCTGAGGTATCCACGGTACAAAGAGAATATGGGTGATCTGACGTAGCTACTGTACTCTGAGGCTAAGGGTTAAAGGAGGTTTCCTCTGTACGCTGAGGGTAGGGATAGTTTGAGGTAGCAAAAGTGCACGTAAGGTGGGGATAATCTGAGGGAGCTACTGTACTCCGAGAGTAGGGGTAATTTGAGGTAGCTTCTGTACTCTGAGGGTAGTGGTTATCTTAGGTAGCTTCTGAAGTGTGAGATTAGAGGGTACCTGAGTTAGCGACACTGCATTTAGATAGGTAATATCTGAGGTACCAACATTACTCTGAGGGTAGGGGTAATATGAGGTAGCCACAATACACTGAGGGTAGGGGTTATCTGTGGTAGCCACAGTACACTGAGACTAGGGGTTAGCTGAGGTAGCCACAGTGCACTTAGGGTTTATCTGCTGTAGCTTCTGTACTCTTAGGGTAGGAGTAATCGAAGTTTACCTCAACACCCTGAATGCAGGTGTAATCTGAGGTAGCAACAGTTCACTGAGGCTAGGGGTAATCTGATGTAGCCACAATACACTGAGGGTAGGGGTTATCTGTGGTAGCCACAGTACACTGAGACTAGGAGTAATCTGAGGTAGCCACAATAGACTGATGATAGGGGTTATCAGTGGTAGCCACAGTACACTGAGGCTAGGGGTTATCTGAGGTAGCCACAGTACACTTAGGATAGGGTTTATCTGCTGTAGCTTCTGTACTCCTAGGGTAGGGGTAATTTGAGGTAGCCTCAACACCATGAAGGCAGGTGTAATCTCAGGTAGCCACAGTTCACTGAGGATAGGGGTAATCTGATGTAGCCACAGTACACTGAGGATAGAGGTGATCTGATGTAGCCACAGTACACTGAGGCTAGGGGTAATCTGAGGTAGCCACAGTACACCGAGGATAGGGGTAATCTGATGTAGCTACGGTACACAGAGGGAATGGGTAATCGGATGTAGCTACGGTACACAGAGGGAATGGGTAATCTGATGTAGCTACGGTACACAGATGATACGGTTAATCTGATCTAGCCACAGTACACTGATGATATGGTTAATCTGAGGTAGCCACAGTTCACTGATGATAGGGGTAATCTGATGTAGCCAGAGTACACTGAGGGTAGGGGTTATCTGATGTAGCCACAGTACACTGCGAATAGGGGCAATCTGAGTTAGCCACAGTACACTGAGGATAGAGGCAATCTGGGGTAGCCACAGTACACTGAGGATAGAGGCAATCTGAGGTAGCCACAGTACACTGAGGATAGGGGTAATCTGAGGTAGCCACAGTACACTGAGGATTGGGGTAATCTGAGGTAGCCACAGTACACTGAGGTTAGGGGTAATCTAAGGTAGCCACAGTACACCGAGGATAGGGGCAATCTGAGGTAGCCACAGTACACTGAGGTTAGGGGTAATCTAAGGTAGCTACAGTACACCGAGGATAGGGGTAATCTGATGTAGCCACAGTACACTGAGGTTAGGGGTAATCTAAGGTAGCCACAGTACACCGAGGATAGGTGTTATCAGTGGTAGCCACAGTACACTGAGGCTAGGGGTAATCTGATGTAGCCACATTACACTGAGGCTAGGGTAATCGGAGGTAGCCACAGTTCACTGAGGATAGGTGTAATCTGATGCAGCCACAATACACTGAGGTTAGAAATAATCTGAGGTAGCCACAGTACACTTAGAGTAGAGTAATCTGATATAGCTACAGTACAATGAGTGTTGGCGTAATTTGAGATAATCAGAGGACACTGAGTGCACCTATCGTAACCTGACATAAAGGTCAAGGATTGTTCCTTATTCCATTTGTACTCGGATACCCAAGGATTGCGGATATAGAAGAAACGCTGTATCAGTGGCCATTCATAAAAAGGTGACCTATCACAAGGTGCATGCATCTGTCACGAGATGTCTAGTCTGATAACTGTTTGTTCTCTAGTGAAGCATTGGTACATATTGACACTGTTTAGACAACACACATAATTCCTTAACTGAATGGTAATTTTCTTTAATTTTTCTTTTTATGGTATAATGCACGGGTATATAGGATAGGCAACATCTGATAGTTGATCAAGATATGAGGTTCCAATCTTTTAGAATTATTCGTATTAACCATCTACAAGGCTAAACGAGTAACTCCCGCTAATGTCCGACAATTATTATTGTATTGGAAAGATGGAAAACGTTGTAGTAATTTTTTTCTGTATGAAGAATTATTTTTCATAATAACCGAAAACATATCATATGCCATGCTATTTGTGTGGTAAAAATCCATTTAGTGTTACACATCAATTAATCACTCTATTTACTGTACTCTATACTTAGACAAGCAACTATTCCGTATGTAACAAAAAAAGTCCCCTTCACGTATACTGTAAAAATCTTGTTGTGATACCATTGTATACGGCTTATAACCTCATAACTATCGCTAACCTCTCATAACTATCGTTAACCTCTCTTAACTATCGCTAACCTCTCATAACTATCACTAACATCTCATAACTATCGGTAACCTCTCATAACTATCGCTAGCCTATCATAATTATTGGTTACCTCTCATAACTATCGCTAACCTCTTATAACTATCACTAACATCTCATACATATCACTAACCTCTCATAACTATCGGTAACCTCTCATAACTATCGGTAACCTCTCATAACTATCGCTAGCCTATCAAAATTATTGGTATCCTCTCATAACTATCGGTACCCTCTCATAACTATCATTAACCTATCATAACTATCGCTAATCTCTCATAACTATCGCTAACCTCTCATAACTATCGTTAACATCTCATATATATCGCTAACCTCTCATAACTATCACTAACATCTCATATCTATCGCTAGCCTCTCATAACTATCACTAACCTCTCATAACTAACATTTACCTCTCATAACTATTGGTAACCTCTCATAACTAACATTTACCTCTCATAACTATTGTTAACCTCTCATACCTATCACTAACCTCTCATAACTATCGGTAACCTCCCATAACTATCGCTAGCAGGTCATAATTATCGCTAACCTTCCATAACTATCATTAACCTCTCATTACTATCACTAACCTCTTTTAACTATCTGTACGTTTAACAACTCTCAAAAACCTCTCAACACTATCGCTAACCTCACTTAGTGCCACCAACCTGACACATCTAACGTTAATAGCCTGATCACCTTACCTTTGAGCACCTCTACCGACTCTAACCTTATAGTTTGAAAGCACGATAAGTTGCATTAGCTAAGGGTGGATATTGTTATGCAGATGTTTTACTGCAGTTTCTCTCGTTCATACAGAATACCTACATGATAATTTAGTAAAAGTGATCCAGATGTTTAAACAGAAACATTTGCTAAATCTGCGTGTGCTCACGATATTAGGTATGTAGGGTCATAGACACTATGGAGTAAACAGAGTGCCTGTCAGAAGTGAAACGTCACACACTGTTAATACAGGAGCTGTGTTCTGAGTGCCAGTGGCTACCTGTGTTACATCGGCGGGTGCGTTTCTGACACGCCTAAGTTATACATGGAGATAACAGCTATGAGTTCAAAAACTTACATTTAGTTATGATGTGGTGTGCTCTGAAATATATACAGGTGTTGTCTGTCTGTGATTATAATTGTATAGCGTGTTTATGCCTTTGAAGTGGTTAGTTAGAACAATTGTTAATGAAAGTATCGTGTATTGCCTTATTTATTATGTTTGTTGAATGTTTCATGTTTGTTCATACATTCTTAAATGTATCTGGATTACCTATCATCATTTACAATAGGTACAAGAACGTATTTATTGTGCATACTTGCCGTTATACGTGTTAACGTAAACCTGTGATAACTTGTTGATTCAGTCGATGATATATTTTCGCGTTAAAAATCTTATGTTATCACGAAACATGTCGTCTTCCACATTAGGTCCCTCAATATTGAATTCGCCTTCTTGTTCAGGAGAGGCATCAAAACTTTGAGAAGCATGCCCGTATTGTAGAATTAGTACAGTACCTGTTTTCCCGGCATCCTTAAGTTCTATCGATAAACTTTCCTCATGTCCGTGTTCTACAGGTTCCCGCCTCACACCTACTAACGTTGGTTCACTTTGCCTATCACGGGAAACTAAAAAAAAGCATATATATTAATCAAGTATAAATCAATGCTAGGCATGTGTAAAACAAATTCTTAACAAAAAAAATGCTCATAACTTGTGAGAAACGATGACATAGTGACTAAAGATTGGAAGGAGATGAGATCGTATAAAAATAATCTCTAGAAATACGAAGGAACGAAGTACCTGTTTGGGAATTATGCGTTTGTAGATGCAGAGAGCCAAACAAAGCAAGCCTTTTCCACACCGCACCATAAGGCTACGTCGTCGGGGACTTATCAGTAATACCGAATGAAACCTCCATGTCTGAAGCGTCCTGAAACCGCCTAGTAAAAGGCGCCACACCTTTTATAACGTTACACATTTACAACAACTGGCTATAACTGATACGTTATACTTAAAATAATATTTCATGAAAACTCTGACAAAATAGGTTCCAGCCACAAGGCTTCATCCGACCTGCTTAAATCAATGGTCCAACAGCAAAGTCAACAACTTTGCTACTAATATAATCACTATAAATACGAACACATGCAGAAAAGGAAGCACTTATTTGAAAACAACAACGTTTTGTGATGCAGAAAGCCAAACAAACCTTAAATTGTTCGAACTTTATTTTTGTTTAACTTAAGATTAATTATTTTGTCTAAAGAACGTTTTATTTTTTAACCAAAACAATGCTCTTTTAAGTCCGACATGTCCCTTTGTCGAGCTTTGACCGAGTGAACGATTTGTGTTGTTTACCTGTACAACGATGTGTCGGTCTTGAAACGGTACTTCATTTAATGCCTAAAATAGTCTATATAATAGAAATCTGTCATGTGTATAAATGTATATTGAGCTGTGAAAAAAGTGCATTCACGACGTTATGAAAGGCAATGACTCATAGCCATTACAACGTTACTTGCAGCCAACTTACTTCCAGTGAATAATCTCATTATCCCTTTCATCGCTGTATACCACAATGGACTCATCCATATCAATGCATGGCAGAGTCTAATAAAGCTACATGGGGTGAAAGGGTTAACGAGATCTCGTTATATACAATCATCATGTTTTGATACTGAAAATCATTAAAGAAATAACGTTGAAGTTTTTCATGGGCATTTAATACAAAAGTGTTGTATCGTTGTAAATGTGTGGTATTAAACTACGTTGATAAAATATTCTTATATGGAGATTTTTTTCGAACATTAATGTATAATACAGACTCATCTTGTGACGCATGCGTTTACACGGCACCACCATAGGTATTATATAGATATTTAAATGTTCAAATCATTTTCACTATATAAAGCAACCAAACCGAAGCCGTTATTAAAGCGCTATGAACGCAAGAAGTGTCAAGAGCATTGAATATGTCGTTTAATCGATAAGGAAGCATTCTAAAAATGTGTACATTTGTGGTAAGGTTCTCTTTTTATATAATAAATGTTTCTTATTCCTCACCTTACATTGATTAACAGTATAGACTGTGTTGTGAAGGAGTCAGAGTTTGACATGAAACGATTGTTATATAAATCTGTAACGGTCTATGTTATATAATATCAACATGAACAAACATATTATTATAAAAGTTAGATATTGGGCTGCCACATACTCATATATGTATAGAATTTTATATGAACGTGTTCCTCACATTCCACACCCATTTACATATCGTATTTTCAAACTATGAGTTCTATATCAAGTTTAAAACATATATCATTTATATTCCCTTTTAACCACAAGGCTTAAAACCTTTTTGTATAAACAATATTAATCACAATTAAAAGATAATTGAGCATAATGTTAGTTATTGGAATAGCTTATTACGCATATGCAGCTAAATGATCAGAATATGTTACATTTGTATTGAAGGAGTGTCTTCCTTGTATTTCACGGTGTTACTCCGTAGCACATATCGAAGTTGTAGAGCATGTAACACGTTTTATTTAAGTCTCGGGTATTATAGAGATGGAAGTAATACACCAGCAAGCACCAGGGCACGAACAATACGGCATGTTAAACCGTCAAAGCCTAGATAATACCTCGTCATGAGCATGAATTGTAGAATAACAAAGAATATAACCATCTATTATCACCTATTTTAATGAATATTTAGAAATGTCACTTTTCCCCACTATGCATATTAAAAAACCCGTATTCGAATTTGACCCCCACAATAGGCTTTGTACAAGCCTAACGTCCATGGTTTGGGTTCTATTAACATCTATTAATAGCTTGCTTGAAATATTGATGCATTGAATGGCAATGTCTTTCATACTAATAAAGAACTTCTATCTTGTTTCTTAACTTTTACAAATGTATTGTATTTTAGATCGGTTATATTTTATATGATTGTCGTTATTTTTTCTGTAATCACATCATTAGTCGTGTATAGCAACTGCTTGGGTGTTTAACTATAAGTAAACATCTTGGTTATGCTCTGTAAAGTGCTTTGTGGTTTTGTCGTCACTGCCCGAGTTTCCGATATGAGGATGGGACATTACTTAGATTCAACTTAGATTTATATAACGGGTGTCATCAATGAAGCAGAGGATGCTTACCCTTCCGGAACACACCGTCTTATTTCCCCATACTTTTTTAGGGTCTCCATGTAAATCTTCCCTTTGTTCATAGTTTGCCCCAGTTGTATCGGTTTTGAGTCTGAATTATGGTTTTGTTGATACTTCGGCATTTTCTTTTTTTTGCATTTTCTATACATATTAATGTACTTGAATATTGTACGCCTTGGGTTTCCTGGATAGTTGTTTTCGGCTTCTTTTATGTGATGAAAAACTGTTTTATTAGTTGAGAAACACGTCTCATTGTGGCTGTGTAACGGTGGAATCAACTATTTACGTCGGGAAGAATTTGCTGGGATGCATTGTTCACATAACATATTACCGTTTAAGAAAAATAAATTAACCGAAAATATATCTTAATGGAAACGATGGTTAAAGGGAATTCCAATAAAATAACATGAAATACGACGCTTCCGCGATTAGTACGCTTTCAATATTTGTAAAGAAATGTTTAAAAAATTAGTTTGTGTATTTTTACCTCATGTGTATAACAGGATATATAATAACAAATAGTTTTGTAGTCAGTGAATATTTAACACAGATATTCAACACTACATTTTACAAGTGAAATAGACACTTTCATCGAGGGCTACCACGAAATACACAGTTTTTATACACTTATTGTAAAACCCTGTTTAGAAATCCGGACAATTTTCCACGACGCTGGATTTAGATTTTATAAACGACCGAGCGGGTTAATTCATGTAACGCATTATATTACCTGTTGTTTGTTTGTATGATATTGTTGTACAGGTAAGGAGGTAAAATAAAGATTTTTACTACAGTGCTGTACCAGGGAAGTACCAAGTGACTCATTTACCCATGATGTGCACACACAATTGGAATGCCACCTCAACGATCATAACGGTCAAGGACTATTCGCTAAGAGAGAGGTACACTGTCAATGCAGCCGCTAACACAGCATTAGTAGGGTTAGATAGTGCATGTTCAAAACTAATTCAGGCTAAGCTAGAGTATCAATCTTCACTAGAATGTCCATGTTAGGAAACACTAATTTAAAAAGACAGTAAGTCGATGCAGCAAACACATAAAACATACCGCACCGTATGCACTCGATATTAAAATGCAAACAAATGTTTTAAACACTATTCGTATTTTGGAGAGAAAACACTGCATGCTTTCTGATATATGACGACCTTGGAGGACTAACATTTGATATCCAAAGATAAATAAAAATATTTAATTTGTTGGACGGAAATTGGGATATGGTGATAATTGTGTGTTTTTAAAGATTTGAGTAGGAATATATATGACAATAGTAAATTGAGCGTACTTATGGAAATTATCAAAGGTAGTATAGACAAAAATATGGTGTTTCTCAACTCGATTGTAATGAAAATGCAAGGTCATTGCCAACATATTAATTGTACAAATACTTGTGTAAAAACGGCCTACTGAAAGGAAAATAGAGGCAGAAATTGGTTCTCATAAAACAAGCTAAATAATGAAGTAGGCCAATATAATGACGATGTGATAAACGAACTAACATATATTGTACTAGTAGGGATATCTAGTAGGAATACCACTTTATATTAAAATATATAAATAATTTAATCATGTATAGGTGAGAAGCTGATATGTGAACAAGAAAAAGAAAAACAACAAAAATGAGGATTGTTGAAGTAAACTTGTATGGTTGTCATCAGGATCTCTCGGGGGAAAATGCAATATTTTAATGTGATATGAAGGTCGATGTTTGTGATTATGGTTATTAAAGTAGCTGATAATTTTGTTGTCACTTCCCGATTTTTCTCAATGTGAGGACGTGACGTTACTACGATTTGACCTAGATTTACATGGCGGGTGTGGTCGGTGAATCAGCAGACGCCAGCATGATCTCATTTGGATTCTTTGAGTGATATGAAGGTCGTTATTTTTATTATGATCATTAATGTACCTAATCGTTTGTTGTCACGTCTCCGGTTTCCTATAACTACTTTGGTTTGACCTAGGTTTACATGGCGGGTGTGGTCGGTGAATCAGCAGACACTTACACTTCCGGATCACCTGGTCTTATTCTCCTTTCACTTTTTTAGTGTTTCGAAGTAAAGCTTGACTTTATTTATATTTTGCCCTCGTTTATGAAGATGTATTTCCCCTTCTGAAACATTGCCTCTTTCATTCCATGTTATTTTTACCATGCAAAGTGTCAGTATCTTATGATGTACTACTATAATTTTACTGTAACTTGTTCAAGAAAAGATAAAATACCAATCATAAAGAAATAACTTTAGCATACGGCATAACCGTCAGATGAAAAATGCAGTCTCCGATATTTAGGTATAAACAGAACGTTAAAGCATGGTCCCATTACACTGATCATATAACATTTCATTACCAAAAAAACATACGTTTCTTGCATGCCAGGTGTCTGATGTATCATTTGAGATATCGAAACATACTGCGTGGGATTGTGACATTATAATAAAAACTCAACTATACCATGGGGGCTGTAAGTGATGTCTCCTGAATGAACTTATGCGTCAGGTTTCCGGTAATTTTATCGACACGGTCCACGTAGATATACTTACTTCTTATATGGTTTAAATTTCATAAAGTTGTATACTTAAGATAATATTATCTGATTAAAATATCACATATGCACACATAAATATAAATAATTTTGTGAATTATTTATTCACCCTTTCCTGATAAATATCATTTGAGATTAGTATCCATGTGGAATATCATCTCAAAACTATAAGTATGATAAAAAAATATAGCACTATAAATACAGGAATGAGATTGGTTTGGTTTAAAAAAAATAACGTCCTTTGAAAAGCTAAGGTCATTTAAAGACGTGCCTCCATGTGTTTAGTGTATGCGTGCTTGCGTGTGTGTATGCAGGAGACAGGGTATGTTGGTTTACTTTGCCTCCTGATGCCGACTTTATAGTGCTATCTCACTGAAATGCCATGCCGAAGGCACCACGCACAGCATTCCGCTCGGTCACATTAAAATGACAACGGGTGAACCAGTTGTTGCCATTTCCCTTAATGCTGAACGTTAAGCAGGGAAAAACAACTAAAAGTTTTAAGGACTTTGGTAGGTCCCGGCCTGGGGACAGAACCCATTGCCTTCCTCAGCTGGGCGAACCCTCAACATTCAAACCAACATTGAGGTGTTGCCAAGCAAGGCGCTAGGAATAAAAAGGTACTGTAGTTAGAATAGGAACAGGAAAGCGAGGCCTTCCTCGTATTTAAAACCCAGTATCCCCTTGTATCGATCACTGATACCTGTATTTGGTAAGGCTACATAACTTACATATAACAATGTACTGCTTATGAAGTGAACAACATGATTTTCATGTCGAATGGTTATAAAATACAATCCGGGTATATATGTCAATCAGTCCAGATCTAACAGTGTAAACGAATAGATGTTATTCTCAGGAGATGACAATATAGGTCTAAACATGACTTTGAAACGGCATGCCAATCCTACTTTTAGCACGATTGTTTAACGACTACCAACGTTGGGTCATGTTGATTAATTCAACAGAGCAAAAACACCGAAAAATTACACATCATAATATCATTTAGATTGCATGATTGATGATATAGATATAAAGAAATTACTGGAACAGAGAGTGAAGCAGCCAACGCCGTAACAAACACTGGTCTCAGTTAAGTCGTGCAACATCCAGGACATAAACCAATTTTACTCGTAACACTGATTAATTATCCTCCAGAAAGTCTCTGTTGAATACATTATGCATTTAAGTATGGAACGGTGTATGTGAAAATCGGTTCGATTATTCCGAAAGCAGCTGCAGTTTTGTCCGTTCCTTCAGAGATATTTGTAATGTTCATGGGATTATTTCTCAAATCAAATACGTTTATAACAGGTCGATATAATAATGAAATGTTCCCAAAGATTTAGTTTTTTTCTAACAAATTCGACAGTGTTGGACGGTTGGAATTTTCCTGGATCAAATATAAACATCGGTGATATTCCAGTAGATGTTATATTTTACTATTAGATTTGATTGATATTTTCATGTACAGATATCTAGTAAAACATTTTTGTTTGTGGTTAAATTGTGGATTTTAGTCTTTAGCTGATTTGTGTGAACAATTATTTTTCTGATTTGTAACTGTTTTTATTCCAGTAACGCTCCGTTATTCAACTGAAAAATGGACTGTCACTGCTTATTACTGGAAAGGAAAACTGCAGGTAAATATCGTATTCTTTTTTCTATAAAATGCTAGAATCAAGCAATGACGTCACAACTTTACTATGTTCAATGCACTTAATACCGACGGAATGATTGTAAAAGTTTTACTTTGTTTCTATCCTTTGTTGTAAAAAAACTAACTGTCGTATGTCGCTTTAAAGTTTATAACTTACCGTTATCGGGCGAAAAAGATTTCACCTTCACAGACTTGCACACAGTTGACCCCATGCAGCACACGCTAGCCTACAAAGGTCAATACATAGTCCGTGAAAGACAGGTGCAATCACTAATACATATATTTACCTTACCTATCAACTATGACTAGCACAAAACATTTAAACAAGTATACCCTTCGTTTATTGCGTTTGATATTTACACGTACCGACAGATTACTGACACACTGTTGATAATGTAATTTTAATAGATTTTGACAGACAAAATGGAAATTAAATCATGAAAAGCACACAGCAATGATCAAAATGTTATAGTCTTTTTAATTTAATATTTTAAAATGATCCAAATGTGATAGATCTTTACTTTTTATGCTCATTTAGGAAATACGTATTTCTTTTCCAATTTTTGTGGCACAAATATTTTCAGATTGGTTTTAAAAGTCATAAATACATTTATTTCAAGCTATCACGTTATAATAGGATACTGATATATATCTACAAATGTTCTTCGTCAATAAACATCCAGTCAGTCGTGTGGCGGTCATGTTACCAAGCAACAAAGTGACCAACCAATAGTGTCGTCTGCTGGGAAGATGGGGGCATTCCCACTGGTTTCCCAACTATGTAATGGCCTAACCCTACACTCCATAGCAACCGGACTTGTTTCGGAAATTAAATAGCACACTTAAGTTGACGAGACATATTTATCGATTTTAAATGTCTTTGTTCTTACCGTTTCACAAGGGTTGAACTCGACAGTCAATCCATTTCTTAAAATAGTAGTTGTGAAGCACATGGACGTTAAGAGATACAGGTGTATGTCTGTCATTGGTACGATAGAGATACACATTTCACACCATTACTTATTACATGGTTAAGGAGTAGTGAAAGAGTGCTTATAATGATAATGATGACACCAATACGTGAATCGTAACATTCATAGCTGATATGAAAGCCATCAAAATAAGGTAGGATTATTTCGTTGCAATTCGACACATTGGAAAATATAAGTATCGCTTTTTTATTTGTTACATAGGTTGGTCAGGGCGAAACACATCCAGTTATGGATTATGATAACTTCTTTTTACACAACCAATGAAATTTTCTATGTGACGTTTCGATGACTAGTACGATATGTACACTGTCACCTTCATCAGACAAATGACCAATGAAGCGTATGTCTGATGAAGGTGACAGTGTACATATCGTACTAGTCATCGAAACGTCACATAGAAAATTTCATTGGTTGTGTTAAAAGAACTTCTCATAATCCATACTTACCAACCTGAAGAAAATGTTTAGAAACATCCAGTTATGTAGTGTTACGCATTGAAGTCATACCATTTAATTGATTCCTAGTATGGTTATATTTCTTAAGTCAAACAAAATGCAACACGAGACTTTGAAATAATGTATACTTAAAAATATACTTTAATATGTCGTTGCATCATCAATATATGAGCCAGGTTATTATATTTTATAATGGTCATTTGCTTCTGTTAAAAACAATATTATCTTTTTTTGATGTTTCACCATCCAGTTATCTACAATGTGAAAGAACTTCCACCCTGTGACCTACAAACATCAATCTGGTATTCCTACCACCTAGACACCTAAATCTGGTGTACCAACACCAAACCTACAAACATCAATCTGGTATTTCTACCACCTAGTCACATAAATCTGGTGTACCAACACCAAACCTACAAACATCAATCTGGTATTCCTACCATCTAGTCACCTAAATCTGGTGTACCAACACCAAACTTACAAACTTTAATCTGGTATTCCTACCACCTAGTCACCTAAATCTGGTGTGCCAACACCAAACTTACAAACTTTAATCTGGTAGTCCTACCACCTAGTCACCTACAATCTGGTGTACCAACACCAAATCTACAAACATCAATCTGGTATTCCTACCACCTAGTCACCTAAATCTGGTGTACAAACATCAAACCTACAAACTTTAATCTGGTATTTCCACCACCTAGTCACCTAAATCTGGTGTACCAACACCAAACCTACAAACATCAATCTGGTATTCCCACCACCTAGTCACCTAAATCTGGTGTACCAACACCAAACATACAAACATCAATCTGGTATTCCTATCACCTAGTCACCTAAATCTGGTGAACTAACATCAAACCTACAAACTTTAATCTGGTATTCCCACCACCTAGTCACCTAAATCTGGTGTACCAACACCAAACCTACAAACATCAATCTGGTATTCCCACCACCTAGTCACCTAAATCTGGTGTACCAACATCAAACCTACAAACATTTATCTGGTATTCCTAAGTCACCTAACATCTGGCGTACCAACACCAAACCTACAAACAGCAATCTGGTATTCCTACCACCTAGTCACCTAATTCTGGTGTACCAACATCAAACCTACACACATTAGTCTGGTATTCCTACCACCTATTTACCTAAAATCTGGCTTACTAACACCAAACCTACAAACATTAATCTGGTATTCCTACCACCTAGTCACCTAAATCTGGTGTACCAACATCAAACCTACACACATTAGTCTGGTATTCCTACCACGTATTCACCTACATCTGGCGTACCAACATCAAACCTACAAACTTTAATATGGTATTTCTACCACCTAGACACCCAACATTTGGTACACCAACACCAATCTGGTATTCCTACCACCTAGTCACCCAAATCTGGCGTACCAACATCAAACCTACAAACATTAATCTGGTGTTCCTACCACCTAGTCACATAAATCTTGCGTACCAACATCAAACCTACAAACATTAATCTGGTATTCCTACCACCTAGTCACATTAATCTTCCGTACCAACATCTAACTTACAAACATCAATCTTGTATTCCTACCACCTAGTCACATAAATCTTGCGTACCAACATCAAACCTACAAACATTAATCTGGTATTCCTATCACCTAGTCACCTTAAATCCGGTGTACCAACACCAAAACTGAAATTACTACCAACATGGACATATTTGCCACTTTTAAAGTATTTTGGTAATGCACTAACTAGGCAGGCATATGTTTGAGATACACCTACTATTCTTATCAATAGTGTATAAATACAAACTAATCATACTGACGGACTGCCTGGAAACTGCATATCATATGTAAAGTAATATATGATACATGTAAGTATTTATTTGATGGAAATTATTATGGAAATAATTTAGGATATAATGAATATGACAATAATATATAAATATTAGTTAATGGTTTTTTCTTAAGAAGCTAGAAAATATATGATGTTATTTTCTAGCTTCTTAAGAAAAAACCATTAACTAATATGTATATATAATTGTCATATTCGTTATATCATAAAATTATAGATGATTTTATCTAATACACAAGCATGAAGCAAATTTAAGATTACGTAGATACATACACACTTATGGCAGACTCGTATTTAGAAGAACGCCAAATATAATGATGAGGATGTGATACAAGTAATGGAGACCAACAAACGCACAAAAAACAAATCAGAAATTTCCAGCGAGGTATGATCGTCTTGATGTACAATTGTAGAAAAATCGAGAGGTAAATATAACACGGGTAAAATTAACATTAACAAAGCATTCATACAGGTAAACATTCACATGTAACATGTCACAGGTAACATTAAGTTAGATCAATATATCTCCTCGCCATACAATATCGTTTTGATTAATGAAACTACTCCTATCTGTAATATTTCTCCTGATTCTTTATTCAATATTTAATGTATGCTAATAAATGGTCTTTTTGCGATACATAAATATGAACAAAGTTTTCGCGGGATATGTCTTGCCGTGTCAACTTTATATGTCAATGAAGAAAAACAACAACTAATTGCTAATGTTTGACGAAGCTGCCGTCGCTGTCATCAGAAAGACACTACATTCATTAGTTGTACTATATATCGCCCCTTCGTCGAGGTAAGACAAAAATCGGCAGGGTACACAATTTGTATGACAAATGAATGACCTTTTTTTCTCAATTGAGTATGAACAGGTGCCCGGGTATTGTATGTAATGAACATGTTGATATGTATACGTATTGTAGTTTATAAAGTTACACTCCACTAGTTTTTACATACTTCATATTTATATCAACTTGTATGTTTGTAATAATTTGTTTATATTGAAAAGGTACTACAATGGGTGGTCCTTTACAATATTACATAATACTCACATATGTACACAAACGACAGTATATGCAGTGATAGTTACCTAGTCACCTACATCTGGCGTACCAACATCAAACCTACAAACTTTAATATGGTATTTCTACCACCTAGACACCCAACATTTGGTACACCAACACCAATCTGGTATTCCTACCACCTAGTCACCCAAATCTGGCGTACCAACATCAAACCTACAAACATTAATCTGGTGTTCCTACCACCTAGTCACATAAATCTTGCGTACCAACATCAAACCTACAAACATTAATCTGGTATTCCTACCACCTAGTCACATTAATCTTGCGTACCAACATCTAACTTACAAACATCAATCTGGTATTCCTACCACCTAGTCACATAAATCTTGCGTACCAACATCAAACCTACAAACATTAATCTGGTATTCCTATCACCTAGTCACCTCAAATCCGGTGTACCAACACCAAACCTACAAACATTAATCTGGTATTCCTATCACCTAGTCACCTTAAATCCGGTGTACCAACACCAAAACTGAAATTACTACCAACATGGACATATTGGCCAGTTTTCAAGTATTTTGGTAATGCACTAACTAGGCATATGTTTGAGATACACCTACTATTCTTATCAATAGTGTATAAATACAAACTAATCATACTGACGGACTGCCTGGAAACTGCATATCATATGTAAAGTAATATATGATACATGTAAGTATTTATTTGATGGAAATTATTATGGAAATAATTTAGGATATAATGAATATGACAATAATATATAAATATTAGTTAATGGTTTTTTCTTAAGAAGCTAGAAAATATATGATGTTATTTTCTAGCTTCTTAAGAAAAAACCATTAACTAATATGTATATATAATTGTCATATTCGTTATATCATAAAATTATAGATGATTTTATCTAATACACAAGCATGAAGCAAATTTAAGATTACGTAGATACATACACACTTATGGCAGACTCGTATTTAGAAGAACGCCAAATATAATGATTAGGATGTGATACAAGTAATGGAGACCAACAAACGCACAAAAAACAAATCAGAAATTTCCAGCGAGGTATGATCGTCTTGATGTACAATTGTAGAAAAATCGAGAGGTAAATATAACACGGGTAAAATTAACATTAACAAAGCATTCATACAGGTAAACATTCACATGTAACATGTCACAGGTAACATTAAGTTAGATCAATATATCTCCTCGCCATACAATATCGTTTTGATTAATGAAACTACTCCTATCTGTAATATTTCTCCTGATTCTTTATTCAATATTTAATGTATGCTAATAAATGGTCTTTTTGCGATACATAAATATGAACAAAGTTTTCGCGGGATATGTCTTGCCGTGTCAACTTTATATGTCAATGAAGAAAAACAACAACTAATTGCTAATGTTTGACGAAGCTGCCGTCGCTGTCATCAGAAAGACACTACATTCATTAGTTGTACTATATATCGCCCCTTCGTCGAGGTAAGACAAAAATCGGCAGGGTACACAATTTGTATGACAAATGAATGACCTTTTTTTCTCAATTGAGTATGAACAGGTGCCCGGGTATTGTATGTAATGAACATGTTGATATGTATACGTATTGTAGTTTATGAAGTTACACTCCACTAGTTTTTACATACTTCATATTTATATCATCTTGTATGTTTGTAATAATTTGTTTATGTTGAAAAGGTTCTACAATGGGTGGTCCTTTACAATATTACATAATACTCACATATGTACACAAACGACAGTATATGCAGTGATAGTTACGTATGAAAACTTCCTCTAAACTTTTACTTAACTGTTTTTAAACTAAAATGTGATATTCTTACCTGTACCGGCACAACATCCGACAGTTTACAGTGATATACTAATCCATCACGGGCCTTAGTGTTAGATAACGTTACATATTAATCCAAGACGTGTTAACACACAAGCTGTATTTCTCCGAAATGAATTAGGAAGTCTCACATCCGGGTAGAGGTAGGCTATAATGTATAATGTCTATTTTTAGACACGTGCTGTCAATTAGATGTGCATATCGATGAATTGTCTGTTCCTTTAATAAGATTATATTTTAAGATAAAAGAACATGTACAGAGATTAATACAGGTAGTGAGCCATTTAGACACTCGGATGTTTGTGTACGATATTGATAGTAATATGTCTATGTCTTGTATACTTAATTGATCTAGTTGCTCCTACCTGTAAAAGGTTTGTCGAACAGGCGAATTTCATTGGCTGAAAGTCTGTTAACGCTACACGAGAAAAATGGCTAATGTATATCTCTATGACTACCGGAGATTACAGTGAAATTCGTTCCTGACAGAAAACATATAGAAAGATATTTAAAACAAACGTTAAGACAGATATATTCTACTTGTATCAACAGCCTTATCGCAGAACTTATATATATATATATATATATATATATATATATATAAAAACTTGTTTTAAAACTATTTTATGCAGAGTATGATATGGAAAATAATCACTAGAATCTCGAAGAAATATAACCTTTTTTTTTAAACAGAAAATTTGTTTTTAGACACAGAAAGCTTAACTAAGTAAACATATAACTGCACCATACATGACTAATTCGAGTTATTATAAATACCCTCTGAAGTAGCTGTCATTTGTCTATTGTTTACCCTCATGTTTTTGTGTTTTACGTGTTTTAAGAGGGAACTAAGTCCTATGCCCTTCCTCTGTGTCATCTGTGCTATCATTTTGTCCAGTTTGGTATTCAGTTCTTGGTTTCCCAATTGTAGGCTGAATAAAATTAATATATTTATTACTGCATTCGGAGTTTCATATTAACAGAACTGAAAGAATCAGGAATATCGGATTGGAAATCTACATCTACACTTATTGTTACAAGAACTTAACTCTTTGATGTTTGATGTTTAAAGATACCTGTCTCATTTCAGTATTATTACTGAAGCATTCCACTGTATTTGTCATAGTTACCTCGCCTTAGGTTCAATTTTGATAGAATGTAGACTTGTAAGAGAAACTACCGCTGGTCAGGTAGCTAAATCAGTTAGGGTGCGCGTTCCAATCTCGGCCTGGCACCGTCGCAACTTTACTCTCAGAACATTGTTGCTGACATCTTGTTTGTTTAGATCATCTTTTGTTTTTTTTCTTAAAAGTTTCACGAGGTATGAGTTCCTTTCATAAATGATCTATTAATGCTTTTGTCAACAGTGACAACGTTACAGAGAAAATAAACATGAACATCGACAACAAGATCAAAACATGGAATATATTTAAGAATGATATGATATGAGATTAAAAAACAATTATCAAACAAATTAACTGAAGATGAAGAACATACATCAATTCCTTCGAAAAATAGTCATTTTAATTGTTTCAACGGAAATAAAGAACTTTAAGAGAAAAAAGAGAAAGAAGTAAACCCCTTTTATAGATTTTTTAACTATTTTATAGATAAAGAAAGAAGTGAACCCTTTTTTGTATTGTTAATTAGATATATATATATTTACACATATACATGATATTAAATGTACTATGCTTTGAATGTAGGACAGTTCATACCTCATGTTGAATACCTCTTTTTTTTAAGATTTTCATTTCATTTCTCCTTGGCTTGATCTCATGGTTCCACGATCTATTTATGGATACACTATATACCCCGATTCCAATATTAGATGTGGTTCTTATGGCTATTGGCAATTTTTACTCTATGATTTCAGTTGTAACATTCCAAAATGTCAGGCTTATTCTCATTTCTGGAATCGTGTTTTTCAAAAGTGATTTAATTTCTTTTTTGTCTTTGGTTTTAGACTTCAATAATTCAGGTACTTTTGTCTCCTTCTTAACCATTTAAACAGTGCAGCTAATGGTTGAGACCTTATCCGTGTTTCCATAACTTAAGAATATTTCTGACTTTTGCAACGTATTTATTTAAGCGGCCATTGGTTGAAATGAATACTGTTTGACTCTTTAAAGTGCGACAGAAGCTTTATAATACTGCAAATATATTTTCATTTTGAAGAAAAAATAGATAAGATGGATCATAAACCCCTGCCTAGCAATTCATTTATATTTAAAACCTCTTTTGTAAGCATTCCTGCGAGTATATTACACGTAATATGTAAAACGATTTATTAATGCGAATGGGTACAACTTTGTTTCAATGACATCATCGTACCAGTCCTGGATCGATTTCATACTAACACGTGAAATGTAGACTAGAACTTAAATAAAATTTCACCGGCCCTATATTTCTTATGCTAACTGATAAGCATAAAACATTGGCTGCCTTGTGTCAACATGTTCTATTTTTGTCACTGTTTAGATGATATGTGAAAAAATGCTTTACGAAGTGAATGGATTACCACAGAAAATATGTAAATGTCATATACAGTGTGGTATTAAGTTCAATTTGAGATATCGCCATATCTAAAATGGTAACTTACAAGTGTAATTTCCCGAAACATAGCCAAAATAAGAAATTGAATGAATGCATAACTATTATTCGACGTTTATTATATATGATGTTGATCTAACATTTATATGTATATGTTTCACGTCTCTTACAACACTGAGAGGGCCACTTTTAATGCTTCACCAAGCGTGTTTTTACACCTTCGCAATATAATCCGTTGAATTAACAACCGCTGAATTAACAAACAAAACAATTTTCATACTTTATTAATATTTTTGTATTAAGTTTGTCAGCAGTAGGTATACGTGTTAAAAGACAACGACATCATTAACTTAATCATTCTTTGCTTCATTTAATGTAATAAATAGACTATTTAATGGTTTTCCGATGAACGTCAAATAAAAACAATTATGAATTCGACGTAAAGGAAGAACATTTCTAAAAATTTCGTTGTTTGATACAGTAAGCCAAAGTTAGCACTGCTACTGGTTCTTGATCATTAGTTGAATTTAATATTTTGAGCAAATATACATTTGTGCGTGATAGTAAATTTATTGACATTTTTATTTCGTATTTCGAACTTATTATCGAAGTAATAAACTAAAATATCGTTTGTTTATCGTGAAATATTCATTTTTGCTGAATAGGAAACAATTAAATTTTAGTTATGACATGATAAAATTGTTTCATCTCACGTCTCACAGTTTTGTCAAATGCGTATAAAACTGTCACATACGTGCATTACAATATTAGTTATACATGTTAAAACTATGTGAATCATTAAAGAGCGCAAGCAAATTTGTAGTGTTTACAGAAAAAGATATTTTATGATAAAATAAACCCGATGTACAGTTGAGGTATAGGTAGCTAAGTCTTTAGCCCCCGTCCCTCAGTACACAATATTTATGGTAAAAACATATTCCGAAATGGGTTTCTGTCATTGAGTATATATCAGTGAGTATGAGGATAATTAATTTGATTGTAAACGGTTAATGCTAGGTTTGGTTTGTGTTTGGTTTGCTTTGGTTTAGCATTGTGTAACGTCCTATCAACAGCTATGATAATTTAATGACCCCCCTCCCACCCCTTGTGTGCAAGATGCATGCGTGTGGTGTATGCGTGTGTGCTTTGGGAGGCTGTGATATGTTCGTGTTTGTCTCCTTGTGATAGCGCGGAACTGATGCCGAATTTATAGTGCTACCTCACTGAAAAATACTGCCGAAGCCAGTCGTCCCACTCCTAAATTGCTGAGAGTTAAGCAGGAGAAGAAACTACCCTTTTTACAGGCTCTAGTATGTCTCGGCCAGGGGACAGAACCCAAAGCCTTCCTCACAGGGGCGAACGCTCAACAAATTTCGACATAGGCCAAGATTCCCAATCTCTCTACTTTCGTAACTGTCTAACGTTTAAATTTTTACAGTTTAGACAATTTTCCTCAGCAACATTCAGGGATGTTTTAACATGGCTATCAATTATGTGAATCAAAGACACTTTTTGAATTTTTGAGGGCTATATGTGAATGGTTTACCTCAGGTGGTACAGGTGCATTCGTTGTTGTTTGAAAACCTTAGTGGACACTATGAAAAAAATCCTATGCGACCTTATCACTTATAAAGTTTTACAAACATACAAAGCAAAGGACTATGACAACAAAAACATGGATACAGTGATAATTGATAATCGCTATACTTTAGTTGGATATCTAACAAGATGAAAGTATTACGTTGCATTCTTATTTTCACTATAAAATTTCAACCTTGGATTTTTTCACAGTTATCAGACTAACGATACCAGACTGGAATTGTTATCGTACATTTTTCAAATTCTGTACGAGTTCGCACTTTTTGAAAACAATCACAAAATCAGGATACTAAATACCATTGAATTGTTATGATCTAAGCTCCTAGGCTATACTAAAACTAAAAATAACAAGAAAACACGTAAATACATTAGGAATAAAATCGAGCAAAGATCAATTATTAGTTAAACTACAAGCGAACATAAAAAGTACAAATACAAGTATACTAAAAATGACACAATTATCCAGCCCTCATACTAAAGTGTATTGCTTTAAGTAAGTAAGGTAGTGTTGTTAAAAGTGATTGAAGTAAATTGTATGAATCTTACACTTTAAGAATAATACATATTGATTAACATGTGAATTAATATACACACTCAAATGAGAAAAGTAATAAAAACTATAACAAAGTAATACACGTTAATGTGATCTGCACACAGTGCTCAGACGATATTTTTGTACGGGTAACTTTAGATGAAATTGATCTTTGCCGTCAGAGTTGAGTGAAGCGAAGGTGTTTGAATGTAATCACGGCCGTCCTTCCTTGTGATTCGCCTTGACATTTTCTTGTTCACGTCCTCAAGGATGGTCATGAAATCCCACCTACATGTGTTTAAATAAATCATCTAATTAATTTAAAGAAAATACAGTATGGTACTTCCAGTAACGTGGTAAAATCCGGGCCAAAGTTGAAATTACCTTTTCATAATTATTGTAAAATAGATAAAGTTTATATCTTTTACTCTCTTTACCTGTAAAATAATAATACAAAAAACAATCAGGTGTACATCTTATCCCTTTATTAAGCTATGCCTTCAGATTTATCCGGCGTGATTGAGACTTCTGAATGAAAATTTATATTTTGTCGTGTTATGATCAAAATCCAGTAAGTTAATACATAAATATTGGTCTTCTCAGCCACTTTTATAACGCATCAGCATATTTGGAAAATATCTTTTACTAGCTATTAAACAAATACGCGTGTAATGCACTTAAACACTTTATCTTTTTTATCTTGTTCTTTCTCGACAAAATGAAATTACTGATATATATTTAGATATATAGCCGTCCAGACATTATGGTCCCAACAAGCATTAAATGTTTTGGGCGTAAGTAAGATCCTCTCACTACGCAAATCACCTTAGGAATAGGAGTTCAGCCAGATCTACTGACTAGTCATATTACTTTTATATATATATAAATTTCGTTGAAAAATATTCGGTCGTTCAGAAGATATCAGTACCCAGTCAAGCATTATAAGCATTTCTACTTTTTGAGAACCAGTACTTATATTGATTATAACAGAAGGAAGTGGGAATATAAGATGAACACACACATGATTTCACTTTTATTTGGTAATAGATACAGTATGCCACATTACTCTGCATCAATTCCAAGTTATATTGTTAGTGAGAGCGCCGTTAACTAATGACGCCCAATTCATTCTTGTCAAACATAGCAGTGAAGTTCTCGAAATTCGAAAGAAACATGGTCCCTTTAGTGATGAGACAGGGCGTAACAGAGAACGTGTGGACAGACTTCTGTTGCGATGGACAATTACGGCACACTGCGTTATCATAGATGTGGCATTTTAACGAGTGTGAATTTGTGGTTTTTGTTGTAGTTTTGTCGGCATTTCTTTTTCAATAATGTCGTTAAAAATGAGACATTTATCATAAAACATAGTATATGAAGTGTTTGAACAGGTATTCATAAAAACGACCGTTGTCTAAACGTGTATGTTACCTTTGCCCGTGTTGATCTAATGCATCCGCCAGTGTCTGTATGAAGAAGGTTCCGTCGCGTGGCGACCTGAGCGATGAATACCCCGGGCAAGTACTATTAACTATGACAAAGTCTGCTGTGTCCCCATGATACCCGGTGTTCGTCGTTGGTCTAAGAACTCGCGCTGCAAAAGGAACAATATCTTCCTCCACATCACCACCTGTAGTAAAATAAGTCTTGATATAAAATACGTTTTAGATAAATCAAAATCTTTTTTTACTTATTAAGATATTAAGCAGATGGCAAAATTGGCCGATGGAAAGGAGTTCATAGTGGATCATAAGTTAGACATAAAAGTTGCGTATATCTATTATATATTGAGTAATCAGTACATTTCTAAATTACGTAACCCTTTTTGTTTCAGATATGTTGAAGGAATACTTCCTCTAGATCTAATTCGTCCTTTAAGACTTTAAGACTAATTTCATTTATACAACATATAATCAATACAAGGAAACCGATAATATGAATTCAAATATTACATACAAAACGCATCATAAAAACAATATTTCCGTTTTTGAAGAAAATCATCCGTTTGTTAAATGATACGCCTTTCTTATTGATCAATTGAAGGCAAGACCTACATAGTTGTCGTTTTTTCCCTTGGCAAGCTTGTATGATGATTATCTTTGGCTTTCCAGCCAGAGATCGGCAATATGATGATTGTAGGTATTTCGTCAGTTCCTCTATGTCGACAGGCTCCCACCAGTCTCTACCAATCACCTGACCTTTGCTGCCATGCGTCAGCACACATAGGACAAAGCAATCGAAGTTTGTATGATCTTTGTTGCCTGTTTCTGAAAGCAGACGTACTAGCTCCAATGCGGACAAGTTGTTACATAGCTCTGTTTCGAATTTTAAGCTGGAAAAGGTTTTCATCAATCTGTCTGTAAACGACAAACATCATCAAATTAGAAACATTGTAAGAAAAAAAATACAACTTATTAATCAATGCAGTTTTATTGTTTAATATAGCATAAAAATACTACCAAGTTAATTTGTATATGATGACATATGGCGTAAATAAGTATAATTAATTCAATAGTGACTTAAATAAACAATGTTAACTATTCTTCTGTTTAGATGGAATCCGCAAACGCTATGCTCGGCGGACTTTCTGCTGTCTTTGTATTCATATTTGTAATTGCAACATGGTATTAACTACGGTAGTAAATGTCTGTCTTTGAAGTATGAGTCACTTGTGAAGATTAACGACGATAATAAATGCATACATTCTCCACCTCAATAAGATCCTTTACTTGAGATGTACTTACTATTTAGAGCTAAAATAGCACAGTACCTGCATCAATATTTGATCCCTTACGTTCGTGAGTCCGACCTTGCGAATTCTTAAACGTTTGATTATTTACAACGAGGCATTTTCCTGAAAATATACAGTAAGTTAGTTAGTTTACACCACTTTACTATGTTTTATTGCTTTAGTTATTAAAAGTGGGAAATGTAGATTTTCCCCTGTCTAGCATGATACACATAACATACAATATTTTGTACTACATGAGTATTATATAAAAACAATACCAGCAGAAACCTTAACAGCCAAAAGACATATATAAAATGATTACCCTTTTCTAGGCATATTTTTTAAAGCATTGCTAGAAAAGGTCATATTTGTTCGAGTGGTTATCAAAAGGAGATAGAAAGCTGACATGAGAAGAGTCATAGTCGCACAATTCACTTTTATAAACACTTTATGTATGTACAGATACTCGACTTCATATCATATATTATACTATTACACTACAGGTTTGATAAACTGGATGAAAGTAATGTACCTCGAGGTTCGGCGCTCATTGTATACTTGTATACTGGAGGAGGTCGTGGGAGTTGTTTTTCACGTTCAGAACTAACGTATCCTAAAACAAAAACAAGAGGCCAATGGGCCTGCATCGCTCACCTGCTATTAATTTAGCATATGTAACCTTAAAAGTGATCTTAGATAAAGCTACGCACACAATATCAGTGTAAATAACAATAAGTCAATCAAAAAACAAAAACCCTTTTTCTCAGCATGCAACTTGCAAAATATCACCACCCTAGATCTGGTGTTAATTGAGATTAGATCATTTAAAAGTATATACAATTTTGACTAAATGTGGCCTTGAAAATGGGCCAAGGTCATTCAAATGAAAAAGGTTTGATAACCCTTCATCCAAGCATGTTACTGGCCAAATATCCTTACTGATTTTGAACATATTTGGACCTTGAATCGGGTTGAAGGTATTTCATTTGAACAAGTTTTATAGCCCTTCAACCTAGGTTGCTACTGGCGAAATATCATCACCCTGGGCCGTTTTGTTATTTAGGAGAAGTCGTTTAAATATTTTTAACATATTTGATCCCTGTGACATTGAATAAAATTAAAGGTCGTTAATTTTAACAAAGTTGGTAGCCCTTTATCCTAGTATGCTACTGGCCAGATATCAACAATCTTGGCCTTTTGGTTATTCAGAAGTCGTTTAAACATTTTAAACATATTTGACCCCTGTGACCTTGAATAAAAGTCAAGGTAATTTATTTTTTACAAACATGGTAGCCAATCATCCAAGCATGCTAATGGCCATCGCGATTCTGGGCCTCATGGTTATTCAGAAGTCGTTTAAAGATTTAAACATATTTGATCCCTATGACCTTGAATATAATTTAAAGATATCAATTTGAACAAACTTCGCAGACCTTCATCCAAGCATGCTACTGGTCAAATATCAATATTCTGGGCCTTTTGGTTATTCAGAAGTTGTTCAAATGTGTTTTAGACATATTTGACCCCTGTGGCATTGACTATGAGGGAAGGTCATGCATTTGAACAACCTTGGTAGACTTTCATTCCACCATGCAACTCACCAAATATCATCACCCTCGGCATTTTGGTTATTCAGAAGATGTTTAAAGTTTTTAACATATTTGACCACTGTGCCCTTGAATATTGGTGAAGGTAATTTATTTGAACAAAGTTGGTAGTCCTTCATCCAAGCATGCTACTGACCAAATATCACCATCCTGGTCCTATTGGTTATAAAGAAGTAGTTGTTTAAAAGTGCTTTAAGGCAACCGACCCCCTGTGACATTGAATATGAGTTAAGGCCATTTATTCGACAAAATTGGTAGCCCTTCCTTCAAGCATGATATTGGTTAAATATCATCATCCTGGGCATTTTTATTATTCAGAAGAAGCTGTTTAAAGTTTTTAACATATTTGCCCCCTGTGGCATTGTATATGAGTGACGGTCATTTATTTGAACCGACTTGGTAGCCCTTTATCCCAGTTTGCTTCTGGCCAAACATTATCACCTTACGCCTTTTGGAAGAAGCTGTTTAAAGTAAAATATTGACGCTAGACGACGGACGCCGCGCCACGGCATAAGCTCCGTCGTGCCAGGTGAGCTTAATATAACATGACAAATCGTTAAGTTTATTGAAATATGAAATAGAAATATATTCTATTAAAGTTGGATTGTAATTGGTTTTAATGGTGATTTTACTAAATTCAAACGAGCTTTTTTTCGCAAGGACGCAAATTATCATAACCTATAACATTTTACAATTTTACATAGGAAGTTTTTTTTTTTTTACAATTAGGATAAATATACTATCCATTAGGTAAAACAAAAGAATACAAAATGCTTACAATAATAAAACTGGCTATAGATATCTTTGAAATATGAAAAAACCCTGCGATATTAACAATACCAGCTTCAGATCGAATCCTTGTAATGTCACCTTCTTCAACTCGGGGTGGTGACAACAAACCAACACGTCACACTTATGAGCATGGTATTGAGTATCGAACTTTGTATCCAACCAAGAGAGGGACAAATTCCAAACGAAAGCATGAGGGCGGCCATAAAACCCGACTGGAGCCTCATTATCTATTATTCGAAGAAACCCTTCAATTATAATCTTATTCCATCGATGTTCAACTATTTATACACAATCGTGATATTTGGAGGAAGCATTTGTATATCGAAATGACTGTAACATCTAAACACCATAGATCGAGTATCACCACCAAGAAGAAGAATGTTCTTCCTCGTAAATCGAAATTCCCGCGCGTCATTCAGTTAAGTAGGAAGCAGTGATCGAGGCAAATAAGTTAAACATAGTTATTCAAAAAATTACCCGATGTGATATGGCCTGTTTATAACTAACAGATGTTTATCAGCACATTATTAACTACTTCTGTAATAATTCGGATAAACCTGTTTTACTTAGTAACGTGACAATGCATGTGCATATAAAACTTTGTCAACATTGCACTTAAATCAGTTAGAGTTGTTTTATAGTATATTACTAGTTTTGTAAAATAACTCTAACTGACGGTACTATATTATACAAAGGAAGTTTTATATTAGCAAAACTGACAGTCAACGGGAGATAATTTCCAACTTTACTTGCGTTCGTCTGTTCATTTTCAATCAAACTTACTTGTAAATAAACGTTGTCCTCACGAATCACACAATAACTTCATACCATAGTGTGAAACCAACATGAATAAAATAATATATCGGTATTACTGGCTGTGTACGTCAAGTACGTTCTACATCCGAGACATTTTGTAATAAAATATGATAATTAATGTTTATAAAATTGTTGACGTTTACAAAGTACGATAACTAATTACCACTGGAAGGATCTTCAGTGTGTCCCAGGAACGTCGCTCCTGGAGTTGGCAGAGACATAACTGGCTGAATAAGAATTTAAATTCGTGTTACTTATAGAGTTTCTGTATTTGAATATTGTCATTAGATAACCGGATGTTTTAAGAAAACAGTAACAAAATACAGACCACCGCGAAAAGCAAAAGCGCCTTTAACACGCATGATAACGTTCTAACTTCATGATGTATAGCTTCAACAAGGCTTTTCATCGTGGTTTTTCGAGAAATATCTGTAGACGGATTTTAGAATATTAATTCGTTATCTTTACCTTAAATATGTGGAAAATTAAATTTGCGAAAAACATTATTGAGAATTGGCTACCTCCATCGGTGTTATTTCTTTGGACTCCTTTTTGTCTTTCACTGTAAAAGATGAGAGCAGAAAATAGCAAAATAAAAAAGGGGAAGAAAAAAACAATGTATAAATATATGGTACTTTTTGCATTTTGATAATAATGATTAATGTGATAGAATGTTTCTATCAACTGAATGATTTTGTGGATATGGAGATGTGACGAAACATATGTATGTGTATATGTTTGTTTTATGGTGAAAGACATATCAATAGTTTGTCTTTTTGACCTGATAGATGATAACAAGATAATATTAGTGAAGGAATATGGAGTTTGAACCTGAAAGTGTCTAAAAGAATAAATGATGCATATGAAGCTGAAATTATGTATTATTCTACATTAAGAGAGGGATCCAATTGCCCCTCAATTCAGGTCTTCCTTTTTTATTTGTATCAGAAAATACGGCCTCAATTCTTGAGTTTATTTGGTATCTTGTCAAATTGTGCTTCTTATTTAGCTTATATAACGTAATATTGCTCAACATGATGCAGTTGATTCCTTCACACCGGACATCCATACATATGTACCTCGTCATGTTTAAGGTTTGGTTCGTACCGATGTCAGGGAGATTAATGGAAATATCGTATTACGTTTCTCACTGGTTGATAACTGAGGTTCCGTAAGCCCACATGCCATTTCGTTGAGCACCTCTCTATCCATCTGATCACGAACCTTAGTGTCTAATAAATATCAACAGAGATCGTCACAGTGCCATGTGGAAGGACAGTTTGAGTTAAATATTAGTTAAGATACCAAACAAACATTTGTCAATTGGAACATTTTTGCTTGCAGTTATTTTTTAAGTATTATTGAGGTTCATTACAAAGTGAGTACGGAGCTAAAAGAGGTTGAGGAAGTGGTTGTTAACTAAATCTAGTGAAAATGCTATATTAGCCAGCATGTTATCGAATTGAAAACGGAAGAAAATGTTACAATAATTACATTGTTATCAATTACAACAGTGTGTGTGTCGGTGTTACCATATAGGGTATTTTTAATAACCATAACCTTTTCTAAACATTATCCATCTCCCCACGAAAAGAAAATACCTCGCCTTATTCCCTGAACTTCAAGCTCTTGTAAGTTAACAGCCATTCATTGCTGTTTAAAAATGATTTTATTACCATCGCAATTTGACTGTTCAAAGTATCACAGGAAGGACGCTCCTTGTGGTGGCAAAGACACAATTTGCTGAAAAAATAAATTAGTTTAACTTAAGATTTTCTTCATCAAATGGTTTTTATCTGATAATATTCTAATAATTCAGCTGATGATAGAAAAAAAATAGAGAACCTGATACAATGTGTACCTGTGTTATTGAATACATTGAATAAATGAAAAATATAATGGTATAGGAGAGGTACGTATTTCGTAATTATACATCTGTAAACATATTGTCATAAATGAAGAAAGGCTTTGATGCATATCGTTATTCTGACACGCATTTTTATCTGATTCACAATGTATTATCTATACTTCAACACGTGGAAAGTTGTCGTTCATACAAAACTTCATCGAAACTGAGATACCTCCGGTGATGCTACTTCTTGAGTGTCTTTTCCATCTTGGTCTCTTATCGATGAACTTGAAAACCACTCTTTGGAAAATGTAAGAAAAGGAAATAATTAGATAACAAAAATTCATTATTGCAATTTGTCAAGTGTTAAAATTTGACCTTTACTAGTTATGATACAATAGTTACCTACGTTGAGGTCGATCCCTGAGAATTATCATATATCCAAAGGTCAAAGTCCGTGGGAGCATAGTCTTTTGATGGTTGTTAAAGTTTTTTTACGTTCTTGTTAAATTCTACAATATTGATGCAACCAATTTTCAGGTTACGTTATACAAGATCTTGATTTCACACTGTGATATTACACGATGTTGTATTGCCACAGCGACCAAACTTCTTTTTTCACTGGTTTTTATCGCATAATCAAATCGAGGAATTGTAAAATAAAAATGGTTTCCGTACATTACAGCACCATTTAACGTTCTTTAAAATGGCGGCATTATTTAGTTCTCACCTTCATTTTGTCCGACATTGATGCACATTGCAATTATTCAAAAAGTAATACAATGGACTAAAGATGACTTAAGATTCGCAGAAAATTTGAACTGCAGAACCTTATAGTACATGGCCTGAAAACCTTGTGTATCAATAAACTAAGTTTCATTTGGAATGTTATAAACTGTTATATCAAGTTTTTGAGATTTATATACATGTAATATTAATGTATAAATATCTGTTAATTAAGTCTCAGCATATCAAATTGCAAAAAAACCCCAACTGTTATAGACAATAATCAGTGTATCTGGTCTAAGCCAAGCAGACCGCAGAAAAAGATATAAAGAATCTTATACTAATAAGATATCGGTATTTTTAATTCAATATTTTATAAACTACTGCTCCGAAATACGATTTAACTGAGTGCACTTCAACCTATTTTCGTCGAAGATAAAGTTTGATGGAGATTATATCAGGTATATGTTAATTAAGGTTGACTGACTTTTGTCATAGGCTGGTAACATTGGTTCAGGAAGTTCGCATGGCATTTTGCTGAGTAGTTCGCTGTCCATCAGATCTGGAGCTCTTGTGTCTGGCGCAAATGAACACAGAGCAATGTGAAACGGAAACAATTTAGATTGTCAAAAGAAAATGTTTAATACATCTTTAAAATATATAACAAGTTGCAAGTAGCTTTGTAATAGTGTTTATTAAACATTTTGAAAAGTTGAGCACCAAGAATACCTCAATATAAATTTAAAATGTGTAGACTTTTTGTTAAGAAATGAAAAATACAAACCAAAATGTTCTATCGACGCTACAAAGCCCTGCGATGACAAATTTGGCGAATGCTTTGCTGGCGTTTCTTTTCCATATTGTTTTCCTAACAAACTTGACAAATTGTTGAAACCTGAATTAGAAGAAATCAAATTTCAGATATCATACAAGCAATTCTGCATATTCCTGTCACGGGATTAAGAATTCATTTATGGATACCCTACATCAAAGATAAGCTAAATATGCATATTGATGATACAATATATTGTTAATGCTTTCTCCATGAGAAACTTTAATTGATAGCCATACTTTAGTATCATGACATAATTTTTACTCGGAAAATACCATTGAGACATGCTGATTATGTTTGCTCCTTACCGACATACATTCATGGATGTACAAAACAGGGAAAGTGCAACATTACATCATTTCAAAGTTCTTGTAGATATAAATTAACAATAAGAACGGTGAAACCAATAAAACACAGGGATAAAACATTTACTTGTTATTTTTTAGTTGCACTCCTGCAGGTCGGTGATCGAAATAGAATACACCTTCTGTTTGTATCTTAAGAGGCGATTAATGTGGAAACCACCTGCAGAATTAAGGATTTGCTTTTTGCCGTCTACTTGAGGACACAAAAGCGACCAAAATAAATCTGCTTCACAAATTCAATAGTTGGGACCTTAATATTTCTCTCTACTTCTTACTACCTTATATTTCCCAGTCCCTTGCTGGACAATTCCTTACGTTTGACTTTAATGTTGAGCGTTCACCTAGGTGAGAAAGGCAATTGGTTCTGTCCCTAGGACGGGACATACCAAAGTCCTTAAAATGTATACGGTGTAGTTGTTATCCCTGTTCAAGGTTAACATGACCGGGCGGAATGTTGTGCTGGGTACTTTCGGCATGGTATTTCAGTGTGATATCACTATAAAGTCGGCATCAGATCCGGAGACAAGAACAGCAACATACCATGTATCCAGCATACATACACAATTGCACGCATCCACAACATACACGAAGACACGTCAATAAATGAACTAAGCTGTTAATAGGACGTTAAACAAAATACAACCAAACCAAATCAAACCAAACCAAAAGATCCAGTGAGATAGATTCTTCTCAGCTACTAGTACTAAGAAGAAGCAAGATTATTACTAGGATAAGGAAAAACTACCAACCTTGTAGACCCGGAAGGGGGCTCGAACACTCCTTGTGAGGGTAAATTTCCTTTACACATGTGAACTGAAATATAAACGTCCCCGTCGTCAAATTTGTTTGTTTGTTTGTTTGATTTTGTTTAACGTCCTGTTAACAGCTACGGTCATTTAAGGACGGCCTTCCCTGTGTGCATGATGCATGCGTGTAGTGTATGTGTGTGTATTTTGGAAGGCTGCGATACGGATAGACCCAAAACAACATCAAAATTAAAACTATTTACCATATACATGTAGAAAATAACGTTTCAATTACATTTTTTAAGCATATAAAAAAGATTATATTTATATTTAAAAAAGTATGTCCAGAAAACCACGATTTTATTAATCTGAATTCCAGGTGATCATGTTTGATATATTTTGGATTCGAAAAAATTGTTATATGGAGCAGAATACTTACTTGTTTTGAATATTTTAAAACCAACGGTTCTTCCATCATGAAAACCGTCTGTCAATTAAAAGAAACAAAACACAGCAAAAGTGGTAAAATTACGATAAGTCATTCATTTTACTTTCTTATTATTGTTTATCTTAGCTAAAGCAGTTTTATGAAATTTAAATATTACATTATATACTATATTAAATCAAACTATATATTCATGTTTATTAATGTTTACATTCCTGCTCTTGTCTACATATATGTCGATGTTCACATTCATGTCGATGTTCAAATTCATGTTTATATTAAAATTCGTGTCAATTCTTCACATTTAAGTCACATTTACATTCATGCCCACGTTAACATCCATGTTCATATTCATTAATGCCTGATTTGAATCGTAGTCTGTGTTATGTAATACAGTTATAAGTAGAAAATAATTTCATGTCCCCTATTTGAACCCCGACCTGATTATAATCTGCTGTAGGTCAACAGATATAAGCAACTGGGGTCAAGTATCTTACCGAGTGATACAACTACCTTGAAACGGGACTAAAACATTGTGTTCAATACACCGGTATACACGCAATTGGCCTATGTATTTCCATATTATATATGTGTATCAAACCTGTGTTTACCTCTTTGTCCTTGTAAGCTGTAAAAAACAAGAAACAGAGATCAGCTACAGCACATTAACATAACTTTTGAATAAATATGCCAGAATTTTCAAGTTATCAAACATAATGGGCATCTTGAAAGATACACAAAGTAATTTCATACATTAGAGTAACGACATGGGAAAATAGCTGAAACAGTATCAACATCATATACATGAGACATTAAACCTACAGCTGATGTTAATTCGGAACAATTAATAGGAGTTATGGGGTTTCTTTGAGTAATTTAAACTCTTAACAATCAAATATCCGTTTCTTTTTATTTGATAAAATAATTTGGTTGTCTTAACCTTATTTCGTCTTTTTAGTTACAATATATGTTATTTATAGAGAACGCACCTTTGCGGCCTGTGTCGTTGCAATATGATGAACGCATTGAATCGATGGAGGCGTGGAGAGTGATGGCGCGCCTACTTTTGTCTGCAAACATATGTGAAGTAATATGGTATAAAGTGAACCTTCCTGGTCTGGTTTTTCATTTTTGCGAGCTCATGAAATTATGTGGAACATATTTTGAATATCACTTAGAATAATTAAGCCGAGAGCGTGAAAGGTTTAACATAACAGAACGAAATAACAAAACCATCGAAAACACTATTGACATTTGTTTAATAACTTAAATGATGTCCTACTATGACCCTTGTTTAAATAATAATAAATATAGGGTCAATCTCTGTAGGTAGTTAGCAATGCTAATTAAGGATTAATATACAGTTAAAGTATGGGGTTGAGGGATATAGCAAGTTTCTGTTGTCCCGAGACCAGGTCTATTTCCCGAGTCGAAGCCGAGGGAAATAGGCATGGTCAAGGGACACCAGAAACTTGCTATATGCCTCAACCCCATACTTTAACCGTTTTATTATACCGCTACACACTGGATAGATTGTTTTAACTAGAAAATATTTGTAAACCATAAGCTGTATAGCTTCACGTCGCAACTACCCCTTTGTTAGCAATGGAGCCAAATGCTTCCGAGTTCGGTAGCAAGCTCCGCCCACCTCGCGCGTCGCTTCCGAGTTCGGTAACAAGCTCCGCCCAACTCTCGCCTGATTGGCTCGGCGGAAACACCCGAGTGTAGGTGTGTTTTAGTTCCCAGACTAACACACAGGACTAAAACAGTCAGGCAAAAGTGGGGATAAATTCGATTTAACCAATTACTTTTATATAGTGTAAATAAAGTAGAGGTATAATAACTTGAATATAATTTTAATGTTATGGAGATATAACACAAAAAACGGAGTTTACTCTAAATAAACTATGATTAGAGTACACTCCGGTTTTTTGTTGATAGACTCTTTTTCTCTTTGAAATTGCTACGCCGTTGTATCAGCCAATCAAACGCGACGTTACAAACGGCGACGCCATATGGGCTGATAACATAATTGTTTAAGCCAGTTAAAATGCTTGTTACCAGCAAGATGAAATTATTATGCAGTTTAATTTAGATTTGTCGTACACTTGTATCGAGGTTATTGGAAACATCATCATACATTGTTCGGCTTAAATAGAATATAAGAACGGCTTTATCATAATCTTTATGTGGTTGTCAGAAACACTGATGTCTTACAATTACCTCACAAAAATAGGCAAGGATACCCTATGTTGCCACATAATTCTTGTGATTCTGGTGCCAGGATATAGATGTAGAAAAACTTAGGGGTAATACGATAAAAATACACATTATATGTATATGATTATAGTCATCTAGAGTAAACAAGAGGTCCAAGGGCCTTATCGGTCACCTGTGTAATAGTAAAGGTACATTTCATCTTTAAGGTTTAAAAAGTAAATCAGCATGTAAATAAAAAAAACACCGTTAACACACTTAAAATAAGCTATTTTGCTTTTAAGAAATATGATATATGTTCCTTTACATCTGAGGCTCTTTTTTTTATTTTGTTTTTTGTTTTTCAATTTTAGCCATTTTCCCTATTGGCCCCCCCCCCCCCCCCCCCCCCCCCCCCCCCCCCCCCCNTCCTATTGCGTATATCATATTACTGCAATCCAATTATAATTAAATCAAGTTGGAATAAATTTATATAAACTTTAGTGATTTTAACCCCCTTCCTTAGTGACAACGGAAGACCCTGGGGTACTAAATTTTATAATTCAAATAAAGCTACCGAGGATTCTTACATTCATGAATAGTATTTGATTCTAGTACAATTGTACATCTGAGTCTGAGGACCTGCAAGCCCCTGGGGCAAGGCATACTCTTATTTGCACCTACTATCTAATTTACAATATCATCACAGTTAATCGAACCAACTTTGAACGATTTTCTGCTCAAAATGGAAAAAAATACATGCAAAAGTAGTATGTACCCCTTTCTTAAAGAAGAACGGGTGTTCCCCCTTTTACTGTTTTTTTTATTTATTTTCCCTTTGGGGCCCCGCTTTGGAGCCTTGCCGCCTGGGTAGGAACCCGATATTACAATTTGATAGCGTTTTCTACCAAGGATAATTCTGCCAAGTTTGAAAACTTTCCACTCACCAGTTCTTCAGAAGAGGTCAACAATTTTAGAAAAGTTACAGGTCGATGGACGAAAGGTGATCACAATCATTAAATATGTAAACCATTTTTATGGTAAATTTTAAGGAGTGGCAAAGCCTTAACTGAATAAGTTCTCGATAAAGAAGAATCATGAACGTTTTTCACTTTTGTACATACACATTTCATTATATTCTTTTCTAAACCTTTTTGTTTTCACGTCCTCACAACAGAATGGTCATATGGAGACGTATGCCTTGGGAAACACCTGACAGTGTAAAGAAGGAAATAGAAATGAGATGAGGCAGAAGATTAATACTGTTTTCCCGAATGACCCCTTAACGATAGACATAAAAGAACACTCCTGATTTTTCAAGTGGTCCCATACTTTTGACTACATGCATTGACGTACATCATGTTTTATTCTTACCCATTATCTGCAGAAATGATCATTGCAAGTAGTCACTACTTTCTTATAAAAAGTTTCTTAACAGTAAACCGCACTAGATTATGCTATGTTAAGTAGATCAGAAGACACTGATTGACACGTGCTAATAGCTTATCTTCATGGTGACGGATCTTTGACAAGAGGTCCTGGCGTCCAATAAGGTCAACGATCTGGGTGAGCTGTTGAAAGTCATCGTGTTTGAGTTTTACTTCTTTCATCAAGAGACGAAACAAATCAAGGACTGTTTTTATTCTGCTCAGCCTCCCAATCCCTATATCATCATCACTTCTCAATATCTCCAATATTGCTTCCAGGTTTTTATTTGTCAGATCGTACGATAAGGATAGTAACAGACACCTAGAACATATATTTAAGATGTGACAAGTCAGCAAATGGTATTTAAGTTACAGGTTTCATTTACACATCAAGATAAAACATTACATTTTTGCCTTGCGGATGACGTAAGGTTACAGCTTCAGAATCACAGTTAAAAGATGGTGTTCGAGATTTATTTTTTCTTATAAAACTTCATAACATAAAGTATATGAATGGGGGAAACCCTAGAGAGGAAATATGTATATATTCACATGCCGTATAATTAAAATAACTTACCTGAATGCAATCATATTTGTGTGTTGTATGTTGCCATATTTCGTCCTTACATTTTCAGCAGATGAACCAAGATTCATGACGAGGTCAAGTCGGTGTACTCTGTACAAAAGCTCAACCAGAAAATCAAAGTGAGGCTGCTCAAAATCAATCCTCCTTTTTCTCGCAAGCAAGGGGACCAATTCGCTTCCATTTCTGATACCCTCCAGGGAGGCAGATTCTATGTACGGTTCGCAAAGAAATTTGCATCCATCAAGCTCAGTATTATCAAGTTCGTCGAATAATACTTGCACTGACTGTTCCCGTCTTTGAATCAGTTTCCGATGTTCAAATGATTCTGTATCCATCGCAAAGTCTCAAACAGTCTACAAAAGTATGAAAAACAGAAAGATCGTATTTATAGCTCTAGTTCATCAAATTTCTATACAATAGTATTGCATATTGATGTATATTTTCAAGTTTCTTTCCGAACCGAATATTAACAGGAATTAATTTGCACAATACATAAATTTTGGACCGAACTAACTGTCTAACAAAGGGCCTCTTAATAAGTTGACTAATTTAATGTAATAACTGTTTGTATCATTTGTTACCATTTGTTATATATCAAACACAAACCGTTTACAAATTTAGATGTATTTCTAACCCGTGGTTGGTAGTATATAGTGGTGATGCAGTGGCAATTTCACTACTATATCTACTATTTTTAAAGGAATCTCCGATATGTGTTCACAAGTCTTAATATATGGGGGATCTTTTCAGGACTGATAAAAACTGGCATTTTTGGTCAATATGTGACACGTTAAAAAATCTTCAACAAAGTTTCCGAATTTATGAATTCTGTATTGTTAGTTGCACGTTTGCCAGCTTCGTCAATTAAACAAATCCGTAGGCTCTATTTGCAATATATGTCGATCTACCTCACATAGAAACAATCTAGCTGCAATGCATATTGTTAGGTTATTACCATGACAGCAACAATACGAGAAAGATACATGTATGTAGTAAAATCCGTGAGGTATGGTCAAGAAAATATATCGAAACATACTTCTATATATAGATAATAATTTATTTGAGTCTGGCCATTAATTTGCCACTATAGGAATTTGGTTTTGGTGTGGTTTTATATTGTTTAACGTCCTATCACCAGCCGAGGTCATTTAAGGACGTGTCTCCATATGTGTTGTGTAAGCGTGCATGTGTGTATGTGTACCGGAGACAGGGTATGTTGGCGTACTTGCCTCCTTGTGATAGCGCAGTTATGATGCCCACTTTATAGTGCTATCTCACTGAAATTGCATGCCGAAGGCACCCAGCACAGCATTCCGCACGGTCACAGTATACTGACAACGGGTGAACCGGTTGTTGTCATTACCCATTTTGCTGAACGTTAAGCAGGGAATGACAACTACAATTTAAAGAACTTTGGTGTCCCCGGCCTGGGGACAGAACCCATTATCTTGTTCACCTTGGCGAACGCTTAACCTTAAAGCCAAAAGTGAGGTATTGCCAAGTAAGGCGTTAGGAAATGAAAGGATGTAGAAATAGAGAGAAAGATAAAGATCCCAAGTAATTCTGCAGGGGGTTTCTACATTAGTCGCCTATTACGATACATTCGGTAAGTAACAGCAGGAGTATCTGTTTCTCGATCCACGACCTTCACTAAAACAAATGATATTTCGAAAACACACTCATGAACCTTATGTACCCACACCCGTTTTTATCCACATATCTACGTTTATTTGAGCTATATTTAGATGCTATCGTCATATGTCCCCTACATATCATACGGCACAAAGGCGACAATAATAAAACAAATGCAATCTTTTATTACCTTCCCATAAATAGATTGTCACGCAATATAGCTGTGTAATCGACATATACATATATATGAAAACAGATTTCCACAACAAAGCCGAGTCAAACAAAATAGTCTTCAATACTGGGTAATATCAATGTGAAGCACGATAAAGAATGCATCAGAAACTGTTTGTAAACCTAACACGATTTGATAGTTAGAGCTTGGTTGTCCGCCTGTATGACATATTTGTGTAGCAGAATGTCTTTTGACTGACAATCACTTTTATCATTTTTGAATGAGAACAAGCAATATCACGCACACTAATTAAAGTTGGCTCATAGATTTAATTGCTGAGGAGGTCAGGATTAATCACCACAAACAATGACTAACCCCGACCTCTGATGAAACATTCAGCTACAAGGCCTATTATTACGTTATTACAATGGCAGCAACATTATGTATTATAACCCGTTTTATGCGGTCAAGAAAAGATACCGAAACATTCATATATACTTTAATAACCACTGACGAAGATCATTTTTTGAAATAAAGTGGGACACATTCCTGTAACAGAATGCATTTTTATTGAAATTCACATGTAACACTTTTGAATGGAATACACGCAATATACTATTATTCAATCTGGACTATTATATATAATTGCCGATGAGGGCAGTGTTAATCACTTCAAAAACACAGTAAACAGTTACATGAGTTATACTACATGTAACACCAAGACTACGACCACATACACAATGACATTGACAATAATCAGAATGCATAAAACTGTTATACAAACCAATTTAGACACGGAACATGTTGATAAATGGTACAATAACGTTTAGTTACGAGTTATATCAGTCAGAATTGACATCAAAATAGTTATAATACACATTTGGACTTTGTCAGCATAAGTCTATTTAAAGCGAAAGTACAAATTAATGATTTAAAAACAAACACACAAAAAGATTAATTAATCGTCGACTGAGAACAACAAGCGTCGCATTTACATGAGAATTACATAACTTATAATTATAGGAACTGTTCATTGCTAAAACTTACACTTACGGACCATCAAACTGTAGAAATGTCACCTTGGATTTCCAGTGTGTGTCTTTGTGTTTTATCTGGCAGAAGGGACCAGTTAAATAACATCCGGAAAAGGCGATGACTGACCAAAATAAATTAGCCAATCAGCAAGTGTTTCACACAATTTTAATCCCTACCTAAAATGTGTTACGGTTAAATACAGTGTCTCTGAGCGATTCGAATATGTATCTGTTGACATGTTGTTTTTTTGTCTGAAATCTACGGATATAAAAACAAGAGGCGCAATGGGCTTAAATCGCCCACCTGGTATTATTATTATACTTTTTATCTTAAAAGTAGATTAAAATACAGCTTCAGGCAAAATACCAGTGTTTGATTCAAAAGAATCTATTGAAAGATTTAAACATGTGACACACATGTGACCTTGAAATTCAAACAAGGACATTAAGTTGAACATACTTTATAGCCTTTCATACCAGCATGCTTCTGACCAAATAGCATTACCCTGTATCTTTATATTATTCAGAAGTTGTTTAAACATTTCAAGATATTGGACCCCCTGTGACCATGCAAATGGGTGAAGGTCATTCATTTGATCAAACTTGGTAGCCATTCATCGCAGCATGTTACTTGCCAAATATCATCACCCTTGGCCTCTTGGTTATTCAGAAGATGTTTAACGTTTTTTTTTTTTTTACCCCTGTGACCTTGAATATAAGTCAAGGTCATTCATTTGAACAAACGTGGTAGCCCTCTAATAAAGACAAATTTCGTAGTTCTTCATCCCAGCATGCTTCTGGCCAAATATCATCATCCTAGGCCTTTTGGTTACTGAAAAGAAGTTGTTTAAAGTAAAAGGATGACGCCGGACGGACGACGCACCATGGCAAAAGCTCATTTGCCCTTAGAGCAGGGGAGCTAACAATGTTTGAGTCGATTTAAATATGAGATGTCGGATTTATATTGGGTCAAAAGTCAGTATATGTATGTATGTATAAATCTAGGCATAGCTCATTAGTGTTGCACTTCAAATATTAAAAGTTATTAGCTCAAGAGCAAAGTAAACAAATACAGTAAATTAATCCCGACACAAAAAGAACACGGATAATTAACGTTATTGTTGATTTTCAAGTATTAAAAAGCTTGAAATATATGTTGACCAAAAAGTATAGTAAGTTGGTTGAAACAACAGTTGTTTTATCATTTTGCAATTACATGTATTGATAAACCTGTTCTTTTAATATTTGATATGACACACATGTTTTAACTAATATCATCCTACTCTGTATTGCATTCCAAGGTCCGTGCCACATTCCCTGTTTGAAACCCTCTTCGGTACATTTCGAGTTTTTCCATTCTCCAAGCTTGGGCTAACATGTGTGCGTTGACTTTTATAAGGAACATTTTAAATTAAAAATTGATTGAATAAAGCATTTCCTGAACCCTAGGTAAATAAGGGCTATCAAAATATGATTAAAAAAGTAAACTTAGCAGTTTTACATCAATTAACAAGAGGCCCAGAGGGCCTGTATCGCTCACCTGGATACCAAATCAATCATGGCAAAATATTCTCTGAATGAGATCAAGGGAATATGCCAGACCCCAAGGCCAATCCTTGTAGCATATCTGTATTAGATTTTTCATGCCCAGCAATTTTATGTATGGCTATGGGGTGGGGATCTCAACTGTTTCCAATCTTTGACTCAGAAACTAGGTCCCTAGGGTTGTGGCCAGACCCCAGGATCAATCCTAATATCGTGACTGCATTTGTCTCTTTTTGCCCAGCATTAGTAGATATAGTTTTGGGGTGGGGATCTCAACCGTTTCAAAGTTATGACCCAGGGGTTAAGTCGCCAAGGGTGGTGCAGTCCCCAAGGCAGTCCCCAAGGCCATCCTGGAAGCATATGTGCAATCATCTCTTTATACTCAGCAATTGTATATACCGTTACAGGGTGGGGAACTCAACCATTTCCAAGAAATACACTTTTTTTTGCCCCGCCCCTCAGCCCCGTGGGTGGTCAGCCCCATCATTTGTACAATTTTGAATCCTCACCACCTAGGGATGCTTCCAGTCAAATATGGTTGATATACACTTCTTAGTTCCAGAGAGGAAGTCGCTTAAAGCAATATAGCTAAATTGACCCCTTTTGGCCCCGCCCCTAAGCCCCACCATTTGTACAATTTTGAATCCCCACCACCTAAGGATGCTTCCAGTCAAATTTAGATGAATTCCAATCAGTGGTTAAGAAGAAGAGGTCGTTTAAAGGAATTGTTGACGTACGGACGTACGGACGACAGACGCCACGGTGTGGCATAAGCTCACCTTGGTCCTGCGGACCAGGTGAGCTAATAATCCGGAGAATAAGTATTTACTGACGATCATCAACAGGTTTATGTATATGCAATTTATAATGTTTTAGATTTGTGATTGAAACATGATTTAATATCGCGTCTTCGGTTAAACTTACTTATATCTCGCATTGAAGTCAACTTCAATTTCAGAAAAAAATCTGATGAAACGTACAAAGTATTCTTTTGAGGCGACTAACGTAGAATCACTCGGTTTTCCCTCGCTTTAATGACCATGTTTGAGACAAAACTTAAGATGATGTGTGCATTGTCATGCCTGTTATCTTTCTCGTTTTGACGTTTTTTATTATAACTTTGAAGTCATATTTTTAAAATCTACAGATTTCAAATATTGTTTGTTTGTCCGTGTTCAATGTGCTTGTATTGCTCGGCAGTTAAAATTGTATCAACTAATGAATAGAAAAAAACAGCTAACGGTTTATCAGTAAGTGACCTTTGCCACAAAAACTCATTTTATCGCTGTCTGTATTTGAATGTTCAGTCACACATTTGATTAACGGGAAAACTATAAAACAGCACACTCACGCAGACACATGCACACGTAAACACACTAACGTAAACACATACACCATAAACACACTCACGCAGACATGCACGAGGGCCGGCACGAATGAGTAAACGTAACTGCATTATTAAATAGGAGCTGGTAATTAATGTACTTAGTAATGATTATTGAACAAACTTGGTGTATACTATAAATGCTTTCGTGGGAAAACCAGGGCTTTTGTTCTGACCTTCATCGGCCGGTCTCAAGTCCAGGTACGTTGGTTTCTCAGTTTTCTGGGATATCACAACGCCCTGGCTGATGTGGTCCCCTTAGGGAGACTTCACATCAGGCCTCTTCAGATGTTTTTCCTTGCCAACTGGGTCCATTCTTCAAGGGATTGGGAAGCCTTGCTTCCTCTGAACCAGTCGGTCAAGGAGTACGCACGCTGGTGGACTCATCAGGACAATGGTCTCCGAGGAGTTCCTTTGTCCAAGCCGGTTCCCACTATGACCCTGTACACGGATGCATCCATGACAGGGTGGTGAGCTTATCTCGACGGGCGTTGCCAGTCGGGGGAGTGGTCTGGGGAACAGCTCTCGGAGCACAGCAATGTGCTCGAGATGAGGGCTGTTCTGTTGGCTCTGCAGTCTTTTCGGGAGATCCTGCATTCCAAGGTGGTTTGTGTGGCTACGGACAACACTACGGTTGTCGCGTATCTGGAGAGACAGGGGGGAACCAGGTCTCACACCCGTGTGCCCTCGCTATTCGCATTCTTCTTCTTTGTCAGGAAATGCAGTTGACAATTTGTGTCAAGCATCTACCAGGCAGGTTGAATGTTCTGGCGGATACTCTTTCCAGGCGCCGCCAGCCGGTTTTGACAGAGTGGCAACTGAATCCCTCGATTTTTAAGGGAATTTGTCAGGTGTGGGACAGGCCTCACATAGACCTGTTCGCCACTTCAGTGAACAATCAGTTGCCAACGTTTGTCTCTCCGGTTCCAGATCCAAGGGCTTGGGCCGTGGACGCTCTGTCTCTGGATTGGGAGGGAATGCATGCATATGCATTCCCGCCCTTCAACTTGGTGGGCAGGGTGCTGCAAAAGTTTCGGGAGAATCAGTGTTCCCTCCTCCTGATAGCGCCCCTGTGGCCGAGGCAGCCTTGGTTTCCGGAGCTTTTGTCGCCTCTGGCTCTTCCTCTCAGAGCGAACCTCCTTCGCCAGCCTCGGTCCAGGACGATGCACTCTTGGAAGCTATCTCAGGAGGCCTCGCTCAGGCAGGCTTTTCTAGGGACGTGTCAGATCGCATCGCTCGATCAATTAGGTCTTCCTCATCTGCCGTCTACCAGTCACGATGGAAGATTTACTGTGATTGGTGTGTCGGCAGGAAGGTTGATCCGATCAAGGCTACTGTCCAGGTGATTGCGGACTTCCTTCTTTGGCTGTTTAGGGACCGCAATCTTGCCCCTGGCACTATCGCTGGTTATCGCACGGCCATTGCTAGTGTTCTCTCTGTTCATGGTAGGTCGGAGGTAGGCTCGTCCTCCTCTCTTTCTGCCTTGATTAGGGGGTTTGGGTTGGACAGGCCTAGGGTCCGGCAGTTGGCTCCGCAGTGGAATTTGCCACTGGTGCTCGAATCGCTGATGCGGGCACCTTATGAGCCTTTAGCGTCTGCCTCCTTGAAGTTTGTTACTTACAAGGTGGTATTCCTTGTTGCCCTGGCCTCAGGTCGAAGGAGGAGTGAGATTCATGCCTTGTCTTCTCACCCCTCTTGCCTCCGATGGTCCAGGAATTACTCTGCCGTTACCCTTCTCACTNCATTGCCCTGGCCTCAGGTCGAAGGAGGAGTAAGATTCATGCCTTGTCTTCTCACCCCTCTTGCCTCCGGTGGTCCTGGAATTACTCTGCCGTTACCCTTCTCACTGATCCTGCCTTTATGGCTAAGAATCAGGTTCCTGGCTTCTCGCCCGATCCGATTAAGATTCCGTCTTTGACTGCCTTCGTTGGAGCTGAGGAACGGGATAGGTTGCTCTGTCCCTGTCGGGCGCTTAGGTTTTACCTCGATAAAACCAGGGGGGGGCGAGGTCCTCGATCTCGTCTGTTTTTGCCCATTAAGCAGGGTCAACAGGATATCTCTTCTCAGTCAGTGTCTAGATGGATCTGTCAGGTCATCAAGTACGGTTACGACCACTCGGATGATCAGGTTCGGGCGTTGTATAAGGTGAGAGCTCATGAGATCAGGGCCCTTGCTGCGTCATG